GGTAACAGTACCCACAAAAGAGTGAGCAGCGAAGTAAGTAACGATGATGAATGAAGCCGTAAGGTATGCTTAAGGTATGTAAGGAATAAAGCTGGTAGCACAATGGTGAAGCACTTGACAGCTAGTCAAGAGGTTGGCATCTTGAACTCACCAGTAGCTTGCTCCATGAGATAAATACGTGTAGCAGTCTCCATCCATAAAGACAACTCAATGGCAATAGATTTTAATGTGTGTTTGGGATTATATTTTGGCTGTAGGATTGATACTTAATTCTGAGGTTTGTAAATAGTCCACCAGGGTTTACGGCAGGGTAAAAATACCACAGAACCATATCAGGACCATGCTATTACTCTTGTTAAGGCCATGAAGAGTTGAAAAGCAGTGGAAATAGCACAGGTGAAGTAGGGATTCAGAAGTGGGAAATGAATCTGTGAGAGATATAATATGTCCAGGAAAAATGTCACTTATAATAAGCAAAATCCAGGTTTTTTCTATTTACTATTTATTCCAATCCAATCACTCTGAAATTGTATTATTATTCTGATTTAATGGATTGAGAATGAGTCATTATAATAGTAACAATATTTGTTCAAGGCAATTGATAGACTCTAATGTCATATGCCGTGTTTGCTTGTCACTTGAGTGGTATATGTTTTAAACTTTATATTGTGGTAAATTATATACCTACAAATCACTTATATCAGTATAAGCAATTATTTTATACTTTGAGCATATTGCATTTGTCTATTGCCTCACTTCCATCATGTTGAAGCCAACTCATAACAACCCTGTCGGACAGAATGGAACTCCCCTGTGGGTTTCCGAGGCAGTAACTCTTTACAGGAGTAGAAACCCCTGTCTTCTCCCACAGAGAAGCTGGTGGTTTCGAACTGCTGACCTTGAAGTTCGCAGCCCAACAACACATAACACTATGCAACCAGAGCTCCTGAGCATATTGCAATACTACTGTATTTTTTCCCTCTGATCATTTTAGTCATCTTTCTGTCATCTCCTGTATCTCCATCATTATGGGTTATTTTTATTGAGGACTTCATTACTCTCTGGCGTACAAGATGCTGCCAGCTCATGCCGCGTATTTCCTGGCCTGGCCTGCGAATCAGTCATTTCTTCAAAGAGCACCAGTTATTTTTATAGGAAGATAGTATTCAAAACCAAAAGCTGATGCTAGATTTACTCCTGGTTACTATGGCCTCTAAGCCCCCTCAACTGCCAGAAGAAGAAATGATATCATTGTTTAGTAACTCAGTGTATACATATCTGTAAATATTCTTATATAAAGGAGCTGTATCTATATGAAGATAAATGAGCTCATGCTGATGTGTCCAACTCAAATCTATCACCATACAGATCGTTTTAACCTTTCCTGCTCCATTCTAACGTCCTGTACTTCCTGATCTGAAAACTCCCAACAGTAAGAAACTTGAGTCTTATCATGCGCCATCCTTTTATTTCATTGCACATGAACAGTAGTTTGAGAATTGATAGCCCATACTTCTGAGGGCTGTCGCTTTGTCAACTAGAGTGCACTGCCTGTGTATTTAGTTTTACAGACTCAACTCATTAAAAAAACTACTTAGTTCCATACTATCCCCACCATTCAATGGTTTTGTTTGATGCCTTTGTAACACAGTTAGATTGTTGTATCACGTTCTACGTTATCCTGGCATTCCCCAAATCTTCTAAATTTACATATATTCAGGCTAACTCTTTATTCTTTAAAGTTCAATGAGCTTTCTACTAATTCACAAAGACATGTGTCCACAATTTGAGTATCACCATTTAAACTTCCTCCTCACCTCTCATCACTGGTCTTATTAGCATCACGATAATTTTGCCTTTTCCAGAATGTCATATATTTGAAATCGTATAGTATGTAGCCTTTTCAGACAGACTTTTTTTCCCACTTTGCTGTGAGCATGTTTGGCCCACCCATGTCTTTCTGGCACTTGGCAGCTCATTTTGTTTTAATGCTGAATAATATTCCATTGTATACATGTACAATGATTGGTTCACCTATTGAATAACAGCAGGATTGTTTCAAGTGTGTGCGGATTATAAATAAAGCTACTATACACATTAAAAGGAGACTTGGTGACTCGATGGGTTAGGCATTGGGCTTCTAATCCAAGGACGATAATTCAAACTCATCCATGGCTCTGAAGAAAGGTGAGCTATCAATTCCCATAAAGATTTAGAGTCACAGAAGCCCTGTATAATTTTGATATAAGTCAGAATCAATTTGAGGCAACACAATGGAGCGCAGTGGCTAGATCATATGATAAGATTATGTTCAGCTTTGTAAGAAAATGTCAGTGTTCATATCATTAGCCAACCTCATAGATGTGTAATGGTATCTCATTATAGTCTTAATGTATAATTCTGACAAGTTCAGCATCTTTCATATGATTATTTGTCATCTGTATAACATCTTGAATGCAATGACTGTTCAGATCCTTTGCCCATTTTTAAGTTGGGTTGTTGTTTTATTGTTGAATTATGTGTTCTTTTCATACCTTAGATACAATTTTTAAACGATATATGGTTCATAAACTTTTCTCCCATTCTGAGATTTGTCTTTCAGTTTTCTAACACTGTCTATGATTACCTAAGCATGACAGACTAGAAGATTTGAATATTAACAAACTGCTATTTATGTATCTGTTTTTCTTTGATGGATCAGTTTGTGGTTTTATATGAGCATCCATCACTAAACTCAATCTTTCTTTGATGGATCAGTTTGTGGTTTTATATGAGCGTCCATCACTAAACTCAATCGTGCCTAGGTTTTTTCTCTTATGCTTTTTTCTAAATGTTTTATAATTTTGCATTTTAGATATGTCTATTCTAATTTTGAGATTAGTTGTTCTGAAAAATGAAAGATCTGTATATACAAATGTAGGTCTGTATGTATATGTGTGTGTATAAATTTTGTACATGGACATCTAATTGTTTCAGCGCCATTGGTTGGACTGAGTAAAACCTTTTCATAGACTTTCCTTTACTCATTTATCAAAGGTCAGCTTACTTTGTGTGACTTTTTCTGATCTCTCTACTCTTTACTGAAATATGTGTTGTGAGGACTATAGCTTTACAAGTCACTGAATCGAGTAATGTGAATTCCCCAACTTTGCTACTGCTCATCAGTTTGTTGCTGGTTATTCTAGGTCTTTTGCTTTTCCATATGAATTTCATAAGTTTTCTCATTATTGATAGGATGTTTTTATAGTTTTGATTAGAGTTGTATTAAATGTATAGATCAAAATTGATCTAACAGTAATTTGTCTTCCGATCCATAAAAGCTGAACAATGAATAAGGAAGATCAAAGAAGAATTGATAAATTTGAATTTATGGTGGTGTTGAAGAATATTGAATATGCCAGCGATGAGAGAAGAACAGGCATATCTATCTTGCTTAATAAAATAGAGGGTCAGCAAAAAAGAGAAAGACCCTCAAGAAGATAGATTGTCGCAGTGGCTGCAACTAAGCACTCAAATGTAACAACAATTACAAAGAAATGATGAGGCCAACCAGGGTTTTATTCTATGGTCTGTTGGGGGTCCTTGTGCTTGGAACCAACCCAACAGAACCTGACAGCAACAACGTTATATGTGTAGTTAAGAAGATGCATAATATATCGTAGATATATATTTTTCAAGCTGCTAGGCTGTTGGGAGCCCCGGATTCCTATGACCTTTCTAATTTCCTCTCTATTCCAGTTGGGTTACCCAAGCTAGTCTTCTTTGTTGCTTCCTGGTGTTCAAGAGATGCTCTTACCTCAGGATCTTAAACTGGCTTTTTCTCTCCCAAATACTCTTCTCACAGATATCTACTTTGATAACACTCTCATTGCCTTCATATTTTCTTCACAAAGACCTCTTATCAGAGGTGACTAGGTCATCAGGGGCATTGTCCCAAGTTTAACCCTACAAAAGAGGGTTCTTGTCTTCTCTTGACCAAGAATGATCAAGAGAGGCAAAGAATTCTCAATGGGGCAAAGCTTTATTAGAGGAAAAAAACAGCTGGTGGCAACAAGGAGGTCCTATCCAAGAAATATTCAGGTTTTTATCCTTCCCAATGTCCAACAAGAAGGTTATCCATATTCACTGAAATTCAAGGAAACGTGGAGGTTTGCTTGGAGTGGGCAGCCCTATGCTAATAATGTGCATGCAACCCTTGTTTTCCAAGACGGATTCTATTGCAAGGGTTCTGGTACCACATGTCGGGATTTATGATGGGATGTTGCCAATGTTTGCAGTGGTCCTTGCAGGCACCTCCCCTCTTCTCTACATGGCGAGCTGTTTCCTGCATATGATTGGTACTTGGGCTTTCTTAAAAACAACTTCAGAGGGTTAATTCAACAGGACTACTTGTTCCAGAATGTGGGTTATAACAGTTCTTTGTGTTTTTTCAAAGCTGTTCTGCTTGCTTGCAATTTTCCTTTGGTTGATTTCTAAGATTATTTAGCAAGGGGTTCCTGGTGTTCTTCTCTGTCTGTTATATAAGGAAGAGTTTCTTCAACCTTCTATAATTTAATAATTCTATACTATTTCACTTAATAATAACTACCCCATGCAATACTATTTATTAATATTCTATTGCCTCCAAAGAGAACAATTATTCTAAAATAAATTTAAGAGTAAGTATTTTAAAAACTAATTTCACTCCTGTTATAGGGCCTTTACCATTACCTGGCACAAAATAATTGGTAAAAAATGCTGTTTCATCTATAAAAGATGATCTTGGGGAATTTGGAATGAAAATATTGCCTTGGAAATATGTGTGTGACTAGAAGCAGGGACGGTTAGTCACTGTCAATGTCAAGCAGAAAAAGGACATTTGTGATCCCATAAAGTTTTCCAGTTACAGGGAACAAAATCTATGAGTAGTAAATAGAAATGAACTAATTAAACATATTTTTAAAACAAGCACAGTATTTTTGTTAAGTTGTGAATGACAACTTAAATAACATTGATCTTTTCTTTGATTCAGTAGTTTCATCAGCTATATGGAACCAAGAAACAAAACACATGCTTCCGAATTTATCCTCCTGGGACTCTCAGAAGAGGAGGGACTGCAACCCCTCCTTTTTGGGATTTTCCTGTTCATGTACCTGGTCACCTTCCTTGGGAATCTTCTCATCATCCTGGCCATTATCACTGACTCCCACCTCCACACACCCATGTACTTCTTCCTCTCTAATCTTTCTTTCGCAGACATCTGTTTTACCTCAACTACCATCCCAAAGATGCTGCTAAATATCAAGACACAAAGCAAAGCCATAACCTACGAAGGTTGCCTTATCCAGATGTATTTTTTCATGCTTTTTGGAGGCTTGGACAACTTTCTCCTGACAGTGATGGCCTATGACCGATTTGTGGCCATCTGTCACCCTCTGCATTACCTGGTCATCATGAACCCCAGACTCTGTGGCCTTTTCCTTCTGGAATCTTTTTTATTGAGTGCCTTAGACTCGTTATTACAAGACTTAATGATTTTGAGACTGTCGTTTTGTACACAGTTGGAAATGCCTCACTTTTTCTGTGAACTTAACCAAGTAATCCAACTCGCTTGTTCTGACACCTTCCTTAATGTCCTAATAATGTATGTTGCTAGTGTGTTTCTGATCTTAACCCCACTCGTGTGTATAATATTATCATACTCTAAGATCATATCTTCGATTTTGAGACTTTCATCAACTGAGGGGAAGTATAAAGCATTTTCCACTTGTGGGTCTCATGTCTCTGTAGTTGCCTTATTCTATTGTACATTTCTTGGGGTGTATCTTAGTTCTACTGACAGCCAAAATTCCAAAGAAAGTGCAGTAGCCTCGGTGATGTACACTGTGATCATTCCCATGTTAAACCCATTTATCTATAGTCTTAGGAATAAGGATATGAAGCGGGCCTTAAGAAATCTCTTTAGCTGAAAAGCATTCTCTGCATAAGCATCTCTTTTATCTCAGGTTTAGAGAGTTCATTGTGAGTAACAATGATCTACAATCTGAAGACCTAAATTATGATCTATTTATCCATTCATGGAATGACAGTCTGAAATTTACCTTATTTACAGAGTTAATACATCTGTTTGAATTTTTATATAGTAAAAAATCCATCTGTATTTTCATTTAAAATTTTGGCCTTGGCCATTATATGATCTGGATTTGGTATAAGAAATCGACCCCAGTGAATAAAATGAAGCAGTAAGATATTGGAAAGTTCATAGGTATAGAAAGAGGTGAGGAACAAAAACACACTGCCCCAGAGGGGTAGTGGGGAGATGAGTCACTTAGGGTACAGGATAGCAATAATGAAACCCACAACCTTCCTCTGGTTCTTAAACGCTTCCTCCCCCCAACTACCAGGACCCCAATTCTGCCTTGCAGACCTGGTTAGACCAGATGATGCACAGCGGGACAGATGGGAATTGGAATCGCAGGGAATCTGGGACAGATGAACCTCTCAGGACCAGGGGCGACAGTGGCGATACCAGGAGGGAAAGGGGGTGAAGAAAGGGGGAATGGATACAGGGAACTACATATAACCTACTCTCTGGGGGACAGGCAACAGAAGGGTGGGTGAAGGGAGACGCCAGACAGTGTAATATAAGATACAATAATAATTTATAAATTATTAAGGGTGCATGAGGGAGAGGGGAGGAGGAAGGGAAGGGGAGGGGGGAAAAAAGGAAAATGAGCTGATTCCGGGAACCCAAGAGGCAAGCAAATTTTGGGAATAATGAGGGCAACAAATGTATAGATGTGTTTTATACAATTGATCTATGTATTGTGATGAATTGTATGAGCCCCAATAAATTGATTAAAAAAACAAAAAAAAACAAAAACACACTGCCTTCCCTCCCAGTGAAAGCAATAGCCTCTTGCATTTCACTCTTGTAGAAAATGTATTTGTGACATCAAATTGTTTCATTATCTAATCTACATTTGGATTAGCAGCGTATTTGGAGTCACTGCCTGTTTAGATTTACGAGATCTAATTTTGGCAATTCGTTCACGGAGATCTAACTTTTTCCTGCACAATCTAAAACATGAGTTAGAAAGTAATAGTAATGGCAAAGCCTGATCCTTAGGAGATAGGTGGTGCTGCCAATCTCTGTGAACTGACAGGAATACCGTGTTTCTTCAAAATATATGTTTTAATAGACAAGGACACTTTAAGGAGATTCCCTTTGACATTTTCTACTATACCAGACTCTCTTGTGGTAAGGATTCGGCCAATCATCAGCTATGGTTTCTCCAGCTGTGTACTCCAGAAACTGGGAAATAAAAACAGTACATATTGATGGACTCTGTGTGTACTTTGAGTTTATTCTCATTTGGTTTGTCTTTAAAGGTGAGTATTCTTTTTTTCTTGCGTTGTTCTCAGAATTCATTCCTTTTCTTTGATGGTAGAAAGCTTACCTATAATGTGTAATGGTGATTTTCTTTGGGGATCAATTCTGTTTGGGGTTCTTGGGGCTTCTTGAATGGTTTTTTTCTGTTCTGCCATGATGTTAGGGAAGTTCCCCTCTGCTCTTTCTTGGAATATATTCTCTGTGGTTATGTTTTTCTTCTTTCTATGATGTAATGTTATCATTTTTATAGGGTACTATGGAATCCATAGGCTTACTTCACTATACGTTCTTATTGTTCTGTGCCATTGAGTCAGGTCTGATTCATAGCAACACTACATCCAACAGAAGGAAACACTACACAGTACTGCACCACCCTCCCTATAGGTTTTTTTTCTTTTTTTTTTAAAGCTAAGGGGGAAAGTTTTATTCATTATTCTTTTTTTTCAATTATTTTATTGGGGGCTTGTGCAATTCTTATCACAATCCATACATACAGACATTGTGTCAAGTACATATGTACATTCGCTGCCCTCGTCATTCT